GGAGATACAGCAATTGGAATAATTGGTACTGAAATTGACACTTTCGACTAGGATTGGCTAAAAGTTTTACAACTGAGGTTTAACATGCCCAGACCAGTTTTATAAAGAATACAGACTAGAAAAAGGTTTAGATACCAATCATAGATGGCAGGACCAGTGCTGTAGTGAAAGGAAATATCTTTAAAAAATTTTTGAAAAAACATTTCTTAGAGGGCGCTTATTTACAGCCTAAAACGTATTTTAGGAATTTTTTCATTAAATTCCTCTTTAAACTTCATTAAATAATACAATTTTGTACAAATAATTGAATGTTATGCTACTATTTATAAAAATAAAATCAGAAATCCATTAAAAGATGAGTTCTCTATCATTTTTTCAATTCACAAATGATTTTGCCCTCACACTTGCATTGCCTACTAAGAAAGTTAGTAGCCGGTAGTCATCGGGTTAATGAAGTTGGGCAAGCTTTTAGTAAACATTACAAGTCTGTTCTTAAAATGATTTTTATGTTAAGTATAAAAATACTTTTTTTTCCTTTTACTGTTTCATACTTTATTTGCATAATCTCTAGAACCACCTAAATGAATATCAAAAGGTTTTTTAGTAAAACTTTATATTTTATCTATCTTAACATTAACTGCAGCAAAATCAGCAATTTAGGGTAAAATGAAAAGTTGAAAAATACAAAATAAATCTAAATTACCTTCTATTTTTCCTTCCAGAATGAATGCATATTATAACGGACAATTACACACTATTTATTCGTATGGCCAAAGTTAATACTTTGAAAATATGGGTGCATTTAGTATTATTTCTTTACATTTGCATTTGGACCCTCTCAGAGAAAACCAAAAGCAATTTATAATAGACAGACAGCTTTGTATAAACAAATAATCAAGATACAAGCACCACACAGTCGATTTACAATCATTCAAGGCAATGTATGTATGTTAGGATATTGAGTAATAAGAGAAATGTTATTTTATCACTTAAGTTTTCTTATCTAACCTAAAAAGTTCCTAATTTTTAATTTTAGTTACTTTTATGTCAATAAATAAAACATATGTATGAAAAACAAGAAATTTAGTATTTTTGTCTGGACTGGAGCTTTTTCTAGTTGGTAGATTGCATGCAACACTACAGACCAATTTTGTAATGATGTATGTGGTGCAAAATATTATTAATTTTTATTTCAAATATGCAGCTAAGTAGAGTACAGGGAACAGGTAGCCATAGGTAAGAGCTGGCCAGGCAAGAGGGCAAGGACAAAAATCTGTTGTTTTATTTTTGGTACAAAGAGTATGGTTTGGAAGGTGAAATATATAAACTGCTAAAGCAATCTTCCAGAAAACCCCATCTCAACAACAGGCACAGAGCAGGGTATAAGGACTTAATGTTTTCTATTATCCCCTACTTAATGCAGATTTATAGAGAGAGAAGTATTCTCTGTAAAGCAGCACTGGCCACACTATGGGTTTCATTGTCTCCAAGTGTATATACACAGATACATACACACATGTAAATATATATGTAGTTTAAGATGGTTGCTTCTTTGTGGAAAAGAAGAAATAATCAGCAACTAACCTCTTTAAAGAATAAAAAATGATAACTGCAGGGAAAAAAATTAAACATTGAGATTTAAGAAACTGTCAAGACACAACTGCCACTGGGTGAGTTCTGAGAAAGGAACTGTATAAGAGTAAAAACAGGTAAGGTAATAAAAGAGGCACTTGCCCATCAAAAATGGGAAGTAAACTGGAAACTGGAGGTAGGCATTATACCGAAGGAGATGAAGCTGCCAGATAGTAGAAGTGATGGGAGACAAAGTGTTGGAAGTAGTCTACATTCCAGCCTGGAGGATCTCATCCAAGTGTCAACAAAAGTGTAAGGCCAGAGAGTGAGCCAAGTGGCAGATCTGATGTGATGAGACATGATACAGCCTGTGAGCACCTTCATCTAAGGAGCAATATAAGATCCAGATGATCCATCTGGAAAATATAAAGGACAAGAGATTCCTGGAAGAAGAGGGGGTCCCATGGCAAGAATAAATGATTGTGAAAACTTTAAAAGGAGCTGTGCATGCCAAGTAACACCCGATAACTTGAACTAGACACAAAAGATGATCAGGATCAGTATGATAATAAAATGCTGAGATCAATGAAATATAGATAGACAGATAGAGTAGAAAGGCAATAGAAAGAGGGTAAAAGAAAGGTTATGTGGCTGAAGGAACATGACCAATGAGTAAGGAACCACATGAATCCCACATGTGAAGATGAATGGTTGACACTCTCAGGTGAAAGAGATATGTATGAAGTTGGAGTAATATTAACTGAGATGGAGGAAGAGGAAGAGATGCCCTGGATGCCAGTCAGTGAAGAAGAGTAAACCAAGACTGGTCAAAAGGGGTTACCAACAGGACTAGACAAGGAGTGTCACAACTTCAAGCCAAGACATGTGAGAGAAGGTTGGAGAATACACATACAGAAAGATATGAGATCAGTCCTGACTGAGGGAATCCAAAGCTGGACCAGCTAGGTGAGGCACAAAGGACCAGATGAAGGGAATTTTTGTATGGAGAGGAGTGGCAAAGGCATTGATGATTGGCATGCTAAACTGGGAACAGATTTAATTGAAGTCTTGAGCATGGAATGACTACTCCACAGGAAGAACACTGTTTA